TCTTCCTCTGAAGATCCAGGGGAAGAAGAGACAGCTGCTGTTCCTGTGGGGAATCCAGTGGAGAAGCTGTGCTGGTGTTCCAGAATCTCCAGATTATATCTGGGTAGCAATGCTTGGCTCCTCCCTCTGGGCTCACATCTCCCAAAGGGATGCTGCAGTTCTTATCAGCCATGCACTGACATTCAATAGCTGTTATCAGCAATGTCCCCTCCCGAGGGAGGAGTGATTGTGGAAGAGATAAGAAAAACTGTTCACTTGGCAAAAGACAACTGCCATACAGCTGGTAATAGAATACATCTTTCCTTGCAACCTGGAACATCATCACAGAGTGTATTTGGCTTTTCTGGTCTGTCACCTTTACTTCTTTCTACTGCAGTGTATCCACATTATCAGTGTGGATACTTTTGCCCAGTAAGGTCTGAATACATGTAGTCTCATATGTTGTGGTGTTGTGGGTCCCAGAACGAGGTGAGAGATGAGAATTTGACTCCATGTTCTCAGAAGACTGATTTATTATTTTATGATATGATATGATATGATATGATATGATATGATATGATATTAAAAGAGAATGATATACTAAAACTATACTAAAGCAGGAGAAAGGATGCATCAGAAGACTAAAACAAGAATGATAATAAAAACAGGTGACAAACTCAGACTCTAACCCTAACTGACCTGTCACCTTTTGATGTAGCTGGTTTGAGGGGGCTCCCCGGGTTGAACTTTGTGATCTTCAAGGCCTTTTCCAACCTCAGTGTTTCCATGATTCTTCTCTTAAATTAAAAGACCTGTGACAGCTGAAGGGGCAGATGTTTTATTATCCTCTCCAAGATACTTAATTAGCACATAATCACAAATGGGAGAATTTCAGGCTTTTACACAGGTTTTGTGTTTTCATTTCTGTGCAGGAGCATCTCACTTGTCCCATTTTACCCCAAACAGTGCAGTAGGCTCTGAATTATTTTAAGCTAAATGGTCAAAATCTCATTTGTGTACTAGCTAAATATCCACTCAGACTGGGGAAGAGCTGCACTAGCTCAGGTGCTGGAGCAGATGTGTACAATCCCTTTGCTGCCATGTGTGTTTGCACCTGCAGGTTGGTGAAGGTGACGTTGTATGGATCCCAAATCAAACTGTACAACATCGAAACCGCCGTTCCCTCCGTGCTGAAACCTGACCTCATCGATGTGTGAGTGGGGCTGCACAGGGTGGGCAAGGCTTGCAGCTGCTGCTCAGACCCCTCCTTGGCAGATCCTCTGGGAAACAGCCTCCCCAGCCCTTGGCAGCTCCCCAGGAAAGCAGCTTTTTCAGCTGAGGAAAGTCAAAGCTGCTGCCAGCAGCATTTTGGATCAGTCTTTGCTCTAATGGAAGCACCCAGGTTGTTTAAGGGAAAACATGTTTGTGCTGAGAAGGAAAAGTGTCCCTTAAATCAGCTCTGAGAGCAAACTGGGATTGTGCCCTGTGCTGGTGGCTGTAAAAGCAGGGTAATTAATGAGGAAATAAGTGTTACAACAGTGGTATTTTAAAGAAATGGATTCACTGTGTAATGTGTAGTTTATTTATAAATGCAGTTGATGGATTTTTTGCTACCAAAGTCAGATCTGTGGCTCAGGTAAAAGAGCTTTTTCCCAGCTGAGGGTTTCAAATCTTTGTCTTCCAAGACAAACATTACTCTTGCAGCTGTGCAAGCCATTTCTGGGACAAACAGCTGCCAGCCAGGCACTGTCATTCAGTGTGAAATCTTGGTGCTGCTGGTCACAGATCACCTCCCTCTGTGACAGATTTGTAGGGACCCTCCCTTGCTGAGGCTGTGCACACAAACCTGTTCCCTGCCAGCTGGAGCTCTGTGAGCAGAATTTAAGGTTTGAACACTTGCTCTGGTTTGTAATTGCACCTTCAGCAGCTCCTTGAAGACCCCCTCTAGATTTCACCATATCACTGTATACCTAATGGGATTTCTCCTATTAACCCCAAGTTAATAGCACTGAAATTGGTGCAGGTGATATGGTTGTAAAGGTTTTTCTGGTTTACAATAACTGGGGAGGTGTTTTCTGTCAGCAAGGGTTCACCCTTCTCCCTGTCCCTGAAGAAACCTGTGGTCCATTTTTTAATGCTGGCCTGAGAAAGCTGCACTGTCCCACATTTGGAGGCCACCTCTCTGAAATTGAGGGACATCCTGACTCAACCCTCACCTGAAAGGAGTGTGATTATCAGCTGTGGTTACCCTGACTGAACCCTCACCTGACAGGAGTGTGATTATCAGCTGTGCTTACAGTCAGGTACCAGTTGATGATAACTTGGCTTTATCAGTTCCCACCTTTGCCTTGGTGGGTCCAGAACTAAAACTAAAGCAGAGTAAGGATTTTTTACAAACCCTGCTGCCTGAAACACCTCTCCTGTGTCCTGTTGCACTGCTCACTGTGTCCCCTGGTGTCCCCAGGCACGCCCAGTCCCTGGCAGCCCTGCAGGCCTACGCTCACTGGCTGGCCCAGTTCTACAGCGAGGTGCACCGGCAGAACCCCGAGCAGTTCATCTCCCTGGTGTCCACAGCACTGGAGGCCATCACCCCCCTCATCAGCTCCAAGGTACTGCCCCCCTGGGGCTGGGGGCTGCACTCTGCTCAGCTGGGGTGGGCTGGGAGCTGGGCTGTGTCCCAGAGCCATGGGAAGTGTCCTGACAGCACTGCGGGTCAGGCTAATACAAGCATAAGCAACTTAAAGGCTTTTAAACTCAGTCTAATGATTCTGTGACTTGAAAGCAGGGAAGTGTCTCTTTCTGATTAAGGGGACTCAGCTATGCTGCTCTGGTTGACAAATAAATGATAGAATTGTTTAGGAAAAGCTCTCTAAGATCAAGTCTAAACCATTTCTCCAGTACTGCTAAGGCCACCACTAAAAATGCCACATCCACACAGCTCTTAAATCCCTCCAGGGATGGCGACTCCACACTGCCTTGAGCACCCTTTCCATGAAGAACTTTTCCCAAAATCCAATCTAAACCTTCCCTGGCACATTTCCTCTCATCCTGTCCCTGTTCCCTGGAATCAGAGCCTGCACCCCCCAGGTCCTGGGGGCTCAGTGAGCTGATCCTGGCTGTGTGTGCTGGTAGGACTGACCACCCCTGTGTGTCTCAGGTGCAGGAGAAGCTGCTGCTGTCTGCGTGCCACCTGCTGGTGTCCCTGGCCACCACGGTGCGCCCGGTGTTCCTGATCAGCATCCCAGCCGTGCAGAAGGTGTTCAACAGGATCACTGACACCTCTGCCCAGCGCCTCCCCGACAAGGTCAGTTCACCCACAGCTGTCCCACATGCAAATGAAGGTTCTGTCCTTGGGAAGATGTGCCTCAGGTGCTGAGGGATTGTCTTGGTTTGGAGACAGGTGTCTGCTAAGGAAGGCAGGAGCCTCCCCTGAAATGGAAAATGTAAACCCTCCCCCTCCAAATTGCTCTAAATTTTAAATTAAGGAGCTCTCAGGCAAAAAATATGGGAGCAGGGAATAGCAGTTCTTTACTAGGGAAGAAAATAAAAAGATAAACAATGCAGTAAACTAAAACAACATTGAGTCAGAACCCAGCCTGACACCCTGTGGGTCAGGGTGTTGGCAGCAGTCCCATTGGAATTGTGGCTCAGCCCTCCTGCAGTGTCAGGGCTGGTTCTGCTGGAGCAGGGATCCTGTAGAAAAGGTGCAGTCTCTTCCTCTGAAGATCCAGTGGAAGAAGAGGCAGCTGCTGTTCCTCTGGGGAATCCCGTGGAGAAGCCGTGCTGGTGTTCCAGAATCTCCAGATTATATCTGGGTAGCAATGCTTGGCTCCTCCCTCTGGGAGCATCTCCCAGTGGGATGCTGCAGTTCTTATCAGCCATGCACTGACATTCAATAGCTGTTATCAGCAGATATCTCCCCAGTTGTGGAAGAGATAAGGAAAACTGCCTACTTAACAGAAGACAACAGCCTTACAGATGGTAAATAGAATACAATTTGCCTGACAATCCAAGACAGGGATAACCTCAAAAATCAGCAGTCTTCTCTATATTGTGGATATTCACAAATTACAATGATATTGTATGTAATTAATGATCTATTTGGGGAAAAAGTACAAGGAAAAAACACAATTGCACCTCTTAGATCTGATTCTTTGCTCATTTGTTGACACCATTCCCAGTTTTGCATCATCTTCACGGTCCAGGCACGTTGATTCTGACCTACACCATGAGTTTTTTGTGAAACTGGAGTATTTATATTGCAGAAGCAATGTAAATAATATAAATGTATTGTATTTATTGCACTGAAAAGCCACAGTGCTGGGATATGGTTGTGTTGTGTGCTGGCAGGGAAGCACCAAGTGCTGCACAAGTGCAGAAGTTCAGCATGTAAACCAGGCAAGGAGTAATGAAAGTAAAATCATTTTTGTTTTTATAAACACCAGTGATTTACTGCTGCAGGGAAGGGCTGACAGAGCTGGGAACTGCTTCCAGGCCTTAAATCCTGGAGCTTTGCTTCTCTCTGTCTTTGCAGGCTGGTTGTTTTCACTTGGGCTCATGTTCTGCTGTTGAATAGTGAGCACTGATGTTGTCTTGGACAGCTATAAAATATCACTTCACTCCAGGCTTCTGCTCTAGCAAAAATTAACTCGACAAAAAAGTTCAGATTTTGTCTCTTTGATTAATGTTGCCCGGAGAAATTGTGGCTGCCCCATCTCTAGAAGTGTTCAAGGGCAAGCTGGACTTGGAGCAGGCTGGTCTGGTGGCAGGTGTCCCTGCCTGGGACAGGGGGTTGGAAGTTTGTGACCTTTAAGGTCCTTTCAACCCAAACCATTCCATTATTCAATGGTTTTGCTGTCAGTCCAACCCTGCTGCTGTCTGGGCTCTTGTGGGTGGTTTCTGCTCCCACCTCTCATTGTGGGTACAGGAGCTCAGGGTTGATACTCACCTGTGTGGGTGTTTTGGGAGCTGCAATCCATCCTCAGTGTCCAAGCAGCTCTGCAGAGCTCACCCCACACACCAGGGATGCACAAAGCAGGGGTGGAACACCATGAGCTTTACCCTTCCTTCCCACCCAAGCCATTCCACCACTTGTCTTGGTTTGGAAAGACAGGAGTCTGCTAA